TGGCTCATCCTGCGGGAAGCGCAGAGCAGCACGGAGCAGGCTGCCCATGGAGTATGCAGATGCTCTAGTCCCTGAAGCATTGGCAGTTCTGGGGGAAGTAATTCAATTAACACTTGGGGCATTGGGAACAGGCTGTGCAGGCTGGGAGAGAAGGAATGCTAATGAAGGAGGGCTTGGGAATGCTGCTGGGTTAGAGTGTGCTTCGCCCAGCTGCTCCCAGTGCTGGTTTGCTCCAGCAGTGACAGGACAAAGGGGAATGGTTTAGATTAGATATTAGGAAATAACTCTTCCCTGTGAGGGTGCTGAGACACTGGCACAGGTTGCCCAGAGAAGCTGTGGCTGCTTCATACTGGAAGAAGGCTGGATGGAGCTCTGAGCAACCTGGGCTAGGGGAAGGTGTCCCTGCTCATGGCAGGGGGTGAGACTGGAAGATCTTTAACATCCCTTCCCACCCAAACTATTCTGTGAGTCTGTGACTCCATGATTCCATGGGATAGCTCTGGGCAGTGGGGAGGTGAGGTGGGGATGAAGCAGCCTGTCTGCCTCTGGGGCTTTAAGCAAGGAAAGGGCTTTGAAATGACTCTTGACGCTGAGTTAGTGACCCCTGTGAAAGGAGATGTGGACAGGGGTGTCTGGACCCTTGACAGGACGGGTCAGCTGTCCCAGAAGCTGGAGGGCTCAGGTCAGTGCAGGGGATGCTCCAAGGCCCATGTGGGAGCCTGGGGTCAGCCTGGGGATGGTGGGGTCTGGCTGCAGGGACGTGCTCCAGCAGCAGGGCAGAGCTGCAGGCAGTGGGGACAGTCCCTTCTGCCTTGGCAAGTGTCACCAAGTCAGTGGCACTAACAGTATTTCTGTCCTACCCAGACTTGCCTTATGGGCTAAATCTTTAACCAGATCAAGGGTTTAACTTTATCAGTAGCTGGAAAAACGTGGCACCATTTCCCTGGGGCAAAGTATCTTGATCCCTGCAGAAATCCCAGGGGTGACTCCTTTTCTTGTGCCTCACTCAGCAGCTCCATGTTGTGTCTGCTCCTTTGGATTGAGAGCTCGTGGGACCCTCTGGAGCAGGGAGCTCATTCCCAACCTGGGCTCCCAGCTGGTCTCCCCTCCCAAAATCCTGATTCGCAGCAAGGAACTGGCACTTCCCCTCGCAGGGTGTACCTGGGCAAGGATTGCCCTCTTGGTGGGCAGTGCAGGAGCAGAGCCACCTCCAGAGCAGAGACTTCCATATCACTTCAGGAGAGACTCCCCCACTGCCTCCCTGCCAGTCCCATCAGCTCCTCAGCCCTGAAAAACCTCCTGCAACCCCTGCCCAGAGCAGGATGATTGATTATTGTTATTAAAGCCAGAGAACAGTTTCTGTGCACATCCAGGTGGTTCAGGAGCAATTAGTCACCCACCAGCGAAGGGGGGCCAGGCTGTCCCCCTGTCCCTGCCAGGGTGGGACCTCTCTGCTGCCCGAGCAAGGGTGTGAGTTGGCTCTTGGCACAGCCGGATGGAGCCCTATCTCCCTCTGTACTCTATCTGATGGGCAAGGGCAAGGCTTTGGCAGCGACACAGCCCCAGGGCAGGGCTCAATCCTGAGCTGATCCCTGCACCCCCAGGGCATCTAGTGGGGTGAGGAAGCAGGATGGCAACCCCCACAGCCCCATCCAGTGTGATGTGCCCTCAGCAGCTTGTGTGTTCACACGGAGTGGGTGCACTGAGGGGGCTGAGGGAGGGATGCTCACCCCTGGGGCGGCAGGGACCACCAGGAGCCCCAGCACAGTGGTCCCGTGGGGCTGTGCCAGACACATCTCCAGCCTGGGGCTCGCCTGGCAGTGCTGTGGCAGCAGGATGTGGGCAGCAGCCGTCTGTGGGCTGGAAAGGGGGAGAATAATGATGGTCCATCTCAGCAGAGGTAGCAGAGCATGAAAGCAATTTCACACTTTATTAGACAATTCAGGTGCCAGCTGCACCAGCCTGGAGCGAGCACTGCTGCTCACACCTCCACTGGTGGGGCTCAGCCCTCCCTCGGGCCACGCTGCTGCATGGCCAGAAGGGCCAGCAAGGGCTGCCAGGGGCTTGGGCTGCTCCCCATGGGCCACCATGCTCCTGCACACGGGTGGTGGGAGCCTGGGCACAGTGCAGCACGGGCTGGAGCCAGCTCAGCCTGGCAGTGTGAGTGAACTTGAGCTCTGTGCCTCCAAGCACAGCCCCACTCAGTCTGGCTGTGCCCTTCAGCCCAGGGCAGACACACTGCTCCTCACCTCCTTCCCTGCCCTCTGCAGCCCTGTTGCTCCCCTACTCCTCTTCTGCACCCCGTGGGGAGGAGATAATCTGGATTTGGGAGCCTGAGTTTGGGGTTTCCCTGGAAGCTGCTTTGCTCTTGCACCTCTCTGTCTCCTGGGTGCCCCAGCAGAGCCAACGGGCACATCGACACCTGGGCACGCAGCCATCCTCCTGCAACCCAGGTGTCTCCACATGGAGATGTACTTTGTGGGCCCCCATCCTGCCCACAGCCACTGCTGTGTGCCCAGGGACCAGCACACCCCACAAAGCAGGGGAAAGCAGAGTCTGACCTGCTACCATCCTGCCCTCCAGCATGTGGCTGGGCTGGCACCCTGCACCCAGGGGACACAGCCCAGGGGTGGACTCTATCCAAATGCCTGCACGTCCAGGATATGAATCAGCTTGGACAGGAGCGCAGCAGCCGCTCCTAGACACAAGACAGCCAGGCTGTGCCAGTGCCAAACCCCTTGCAGGCTGGCAGGCAGGTTGCAGGCAGCAGCGCCTGCCTGGCTCCGCTGCCACCTCACAGAGCAGCCCTGGGCATGGCAAAACCCTGGCATGGTATGTGCTTCCCTCCCCCCTGCATGGCTGTGCTGCCCTGGTGCCAGCGGCGCCTGGCAGGGCGATGCCCAACCTTGACCCGCTGTCCCGGCACACAGCCGTCCCAGCTGTCCCCCCGTGCCCCCAGCCACAGGCATGTTCCACCGGGCCAGCCAGAGCATTCCTCCTGGGAGAGCCTGTCCTTGACAGGCTATTTAAAGGCACACTCGTGCCCTTTATCCCCCTTCATGTTTAGGCTGGAAGAGCCCTATACCCTCTGGTGACTCCAAGAGGGCATTTCCAGCTCGAGGCAGCAGCAGTGCAATGAAGTTTGGGTGAAATCATGGGAGAAGGGAGGAGTATTGGCACCCACGTCCTGCAGTCAAGTGCCAGGCCATGGCCTGAGGTCAGCTCCCATGGAGAAGGTCCCATGATGGACCTCTGACAGGTAGAGCTGGGACTGAGAAGAGCCAGCAGGGGCCTAGGGCAGGTCCCAATATCCTGTATCCCTGTGCAGGGCTAAGAGCTCCATCTGACCCACACTGACACACAGGCAGCACTGGCAGTGGCTGGAGGGAGGGAAAGGGGAACTGTTGTTTCAGAGCACATGAAATCCAGAGTCCTGGTGAGTGATGGACAAAGCTCAACCAGTTTTATAAACTCAAGTCCTGCCCACCCCAGATCTCCTTCCTCAGGCAGCAGCAGCTTCTCAGCACTGTCACACTGTCACACTTAATCCTCTGAAGGGTCCTGGACACCTGAAGGCTGTGGAGCAGGACCTGCCAGAGCCACTGGCTCCTGCCATAGCCTGTGCTGGCACAGGGCTGATTGCATCTGCACCCCACTGAGCTGGCAGGAAGGTGAGTCTGGAGGGAAATCCGACCTGATGTGATTTGATTAGGAACGGAAAAATCCAGAGAAGCCATCAGCAGTGAGCTAGAGGTGTGAGCACGGTGGCTGGGCACACAGACACACAGCCCCTTGTGCAGGGGGATGCTCTCCCATCCCAAGGAGCCCACCAGCCTTTCCCGAGGCTGGGAGCATCCTAAGGCAACGTCCTCAGCTCCATCAGCGCTGTCTCCTCCCAGGTTTCATGTGGATGAGCATTTGCTCGGGGCAATCCATGGCACCCGGGCAGAGGTAGCTGCAGGTAACACCCTGCGGGTACCAAGGAGGGTGATCCCCACCGCAGCTCTGCCTCAAACCAAGCCCCCAGACCCACACGTGGGGGCACAGAACAGTGTCTGGGGACTGTCCCCACCTGCCTGGCACACGCCCCATCCCTCCCAATGCTTGGGAGAGGATATGCCACGGGATCGCCAGGGACCTGTGCGGGTCGCGGAGGGACGTGGCACGGCGGGACCCGAGGAACTGGGCACTGCGTGCTCAGCCCGCAGCCCCCACCAGTGCTCCCAGTCAGCGTCCAGTCCGCACTGGGAGCTGGTGCGGAGCTCCCTCTGGCGGCCACGCGGGGCGGAGCTGCCAGCCCAGGCTCCCAGCCCCAGGTGCTCGGGTACCCAGTTCCTCGGGTACCCAGTTGCCCAGGTGCCCAGTTGCCCAGGTGTCCAGATGCCCAAGTGCTCAGGTACTTATTTACCAAGATGCCCAGATGCTCAGGTGCCCAGTTGCCTAGTTGCCCAGCTACCCAATTTCCTAGGTGCCCAGTTGTTTAGGTGCTCAGGTGTCCAAATACTCAGGTTCCCAGTTGCCCAGGTGCTCAGGTACTTATTTACCAAGATGCCCAGTTGCCCAGGTGCTAAGTTGCTCAACACTTAGGTGCCCAGATGCTCAGATACCCAGCTGCCCAGGTGTTCAGGTGCTTAGTTGCTCCATGCCCACCTGAGGGCTCCTCTCCACCTCTGCCCCTTTGCCACTCTGTCCTGATCTGACCTGGGCCAAAGCTGCCTCATCACCCCCTGGGACACATTTGTCACTGACATGGATCTCAGCAAACCCTGGAAAACTGCAGCCACCTGGCCTCACTCCTTCCTCACATGGGACGTGACACCCTCACACCTCCCATCACGAAGAACCTCCCAAGTGCTATCCTCATGTCCTCTGGGCCATATTCTGCCTCCCACCGCCTTCCCAGCCTGGGGCTGCCTCCCTCCAGCATCTCCTGTGAGGAGTTCTCAGGTGCCCAGCAGACTGCTCCCATCTGAAGAAGCCTGTGCCCTTGCTGGCCACGCTCACACGGGCAAGCTCCAGCCCGTGGGGTCCTGCATGGGGATGGTCACCAGGTAGCTGGAGGGCACATAGCCCCTCTGGCCATTCACCTCCACCAGGCTCCACTCCGTGCTGCCCTTCTTGTCGTGTGGCTCCAGCACCACCACGGGCTGTCCTGCCTGCAGGCTCACCTCCTGCGGGCTCCTGGCTGCGAAGGAGAAACCAGCGACCACCTGGGGAAGGCAGGGAAGGAGGGAGGAAATCCTCGTGGATATGAGAGTCAAAGCAGGGAGGGCACACATGGCACGGAAGGAGGGAAGAAGCCCTTGCTGGACACGAAATTCAAAGGGAGGAAGATATACCTGGCAGGGAAAGAAGGAGGAAGCCCTTGCTGGACATGAGAATTAATGTAGGGAGGATACACATAGCAGGGCTAAGAGGGAAGTGCAGCAGTGCCATGGATGGAGAGACAATGGAGACCCCACTGGGCACAGTTCTCCTCTGTTCACTCTGGTCCCAGCAAGGAGGACATCAACCTCACAGGGCACTTGGCTGGGGACGTGACACTCACATGGCTGCACATGAATGATCATGTGTGTGCTGGAAAAGCAGCTCCACCTTCCCACCCAGGACTCAGTGTGGAAGTGGTGGGTTTACTAGGAATGGCCCTGGGGGTGTCCCCCACTCTCACCTGGAGTGTTGGGGTGAAGGAGGGCACCTGGGGCCTGGGAGCTTCAGGTGATGCATAGGAATGTCGCCGTCTCTCTGTGCCACTCTCCAGGGTTAGCAACTGCAGCCCAGGCTGTTGGCTTTGTACTGGGCAATAGGGACGGAGTTTTCCAGCAGGAACAAACCCTCGGGGACCTGGAGGACATGGACACACACACACAGGTCATGAGGTCCCACTGCCTGGCACATGTAGGACTGTTTGGAGGAGAGAGGAGTGCCAATTTGGCTGTTGCCTGGTGTGGCACAGCAGCTCTGCTCAAACCAGAGAGTTTCCAGCAGAAACACCCCCTGAAAAAAGCAATTCCATGTTTCTGTGTGCATGGGATTCCCCTATCCCAACCATGACACTTCAGGACTGCTCCCTTGAGGGATGAATTACAACCAGCCTCACACCTAAGGGCCATGGGTGAGCTGGCAGAGCTGAACTGGGTTTGGGCTGAGCAAAGCCTGGAACGGAGGACCCAGGAGGGCATAGCTCACTGGTTCATCCAAGATGAGGACGTGGCTCAGGTCTGGTTTTAGGGCAGGGAGAGGTTGCCCACAGTGCTCACGGTACCTCCAGCATCCACCAGCCATCTGCTCGTGTTCCCCTTGGTGTCCATGCTCTGCAGCAGAGCTACAATCTGTCCCCTCAGCAAGGTCAGGTCCAGGTCTTTGCTGCCACTGATGTTGCTTGTCACTTGGTAAAGTTTGTCTGGGCCGTGTTTGCTCACAAGGGACAGGACCTTCCGCTCCTCAGCAGGGTTCAGGGGCTGGTGGGGAGCAAGAGACACGGGAGTACTTGGTCAGACACGCAGGAGACTGACACCCTCCATGTACACTTGCTCTCCTTTCTGCAGGATCACATCCCAGGGCAAGGTTAGAGGAGACACTCACTGCTTTACCCCATGGTTGGGAGATGAGTGTCCAGAACCAGCAGAGCTGAGCTGTTTCACCTCTGGTTATTCTCCTCAAGCTGCTGTCAGAGGCTTAGGGGAAATGCTGTGGCTGTAGCAACCCCCTGGGCCACTTTCTGAGCCTCCCACCGAGGGGAAGTTCTGCACTGGGCAGCCACAGTCCTACCTCTTTATCTGGCCTGAGATATTAATTTTCCAGCCCCTACCTGTGCCACAGGGCTCGGCGTGACCGTCTCGAAGGTCTGACAGAAGGTTTGGAGCTGAGCACCTGACTGCTGCAAGGTGTCTTCCATCACCTTCCAGAAGCTGGGCAGAGGCATGTGGCCATGGGGCATCTGTGGAGACAGAGATCAGAGAGGGCTCTGGAGAGAGGAAGAGCTGTGGGTAGGGTCAGAAGAGAAGGAGCAAAGGGGTGAGACAGCAAGAGAATAGACCTGGCCACTAAAGGTGCACCTTGCACCTAGGATCAAAGCTGCTCCTCTCTGGCTTTAAGCCATGTTCCCTGGGCAGTGTTGTCATATGCTCTGCCCCAGGGCTCTCAACTGCCCTGACCCTCCACGTTTGCAAACAGCAGGCTCAAGACTACTGTGTAGTGAGTAGTTCTGGGAGACATCTCCCAGAGGGGATGAGTGTTGAGGGATGCTCATTCCTCAGGCCAGGAGCTGCCTTTCTCCTCCTTGCCTTACTGGCACAGAGCTCTCAGGAGCTCAGAGTTAACACTGATCTCTCAGGCAGCAGCACATCAATAAATTACAAGTGGTGTCCTCAAAGAGAAAGTTCTTGGCAGTGAAGAAGAGAAAATTTGGCTTTCCCAAGCCAAGGAGGAGAGATCACTTACAAAGGCTAGACAGGGAGCTGTGTGTCTGCAAAGGCAGCCTGGACTACAGCAAACCTCAGTGTCCTGATGTCTGAGACACGTCCCAAGCCTGAAGAAGGCAGGGCTGGCTCAGCTCATGTGCCTGTTTGGGCATACTCTCCAAGGTGTCATGCTCACCTGCTCTAGCTCCTTTTCTGCCTGCTGCAGGACCTGGGCAGCCAAATCCTGCTGCAGGGTGCTGAAGGAGCACAAGATCTGCCCCAGGAGCTGCACAGCCACCTGGTTGAACTGTGGGAGCTCAGCCACGAGCAGGTCGTTGATGGCCAGGTAGGTGTTCATGGCTGCCTCCTCATCATACGTCACACTGCCCATCTCGCTTTTCCGCTCCTGGATCTCCTCGTAGTCCAGCAGCTTGTCCAGGCGCTGCTTGACCAGCTGCTGTGGCCCCTCCAGCAGGTCTGAGAGGCTGCAGAGGGGCTGCCAGACCAGCCTGTCCAGCCGTCGCTTCTGTGGGGTGAGAGAAGCCAAATCCCCACGTGAGCCACCCAGAAGGATCTGCTGTCTGCATGGGGCACTCTCTTAGGCAGGGGGAAAGGCTCAGGGACCTGTTGAGGGGCTTGTGTGGAGTGGGGAGCATCTGAGACATCTTTCCCCAAAGGCACATGGGATGCCAACCAAAGCAAACCCTTGGCAGAGAGCAGTCATACCTGCCACGAGCCCAAACTTGTGCTCCAAACAAATGACCAGGTAGGACCCTTTCATGGCCTAGACCCTCCTCACCTGGGCCTCCACCCACACCCCTGGCACAGCCCATTTAAGGATCCTCTTTGCCTGCCTGAGTGTTGTTGTGGGTGTGCTGTCTCCTTGGACCTCTGCTGCAGGTAGTTCTTCTCCTAGATGCATCCACCAGATATACACTGCAGCTTGTCTCCAGCCCTGGGTGAGCTCTGGAGCTGTGTTGTAGTCATGTCTCTACCCCTGACCCCCCCCTTATTTCCTGGATGGATCCTTGACCTGGTTCCTCACTTTGTGTGTCTGGGACTGCTGATGGATCCTGTTACTTGCTCCTGGCTCTGCCAGGAGTTGAGGCTCCAGGGGACTGTGAGGGCACTATCTGCTCTGGGGCTCCCCTCAGCTCTGGGGGAGCATCCAGCCCTCCCTTGCCCTCCAGAAGGTGGGGGAGCAATGCAGGAGCTCTGCAGGGAAGGAGCACTCACAAACTCTGGGTAGACTGTGCACTGGAGGTACTCTGCGAAGCGGCGATAGTGCTGGGCAGGTCCCTCGTCCATCTGCAAGTCACACTGGTGTGGGGTGGGCAACAGGAGAGCCTGAAAGGGAGGAAGCATCACACCTGACCTGCAGGAGCTGCCTCAGACTAGCTAACCCAAGGCGTCTTTCAATCTCCTTTACCTCCTTTCCAATCCTATGTGGGGAGCCCTTCTCAATACTTTCATTTCGTTTTCTCTCCAGCCCATGAATTGCAGCTTTCTGAGCCCTCTGCCATTTCCTGAGGCTTTCCTGATAATGCTGTGTCTAGGGATTGCCTGTTTTGCCATTGTTCATGCTTTCATTTCCTTCAGATGCCCCAAGGGATTTCCATGAGAAAATCACAGCAGCTGCTGACCCAGGTGATGTCAGAAGGGAATCTTGTTGTCAGGCCTGATCTGGGGACATTTCTGCCTTATACCTGTTATTAAAGCAATAATTCCCAGGCTGAACAGCACTTGACCTTTTCAGCCATCTCACACCTTGAAATAATATAAGTTTAAGGACAGATTACTCTCCAATGACACAGCTCAGTCAGCACTGTCAAAGCCTCGGTTTTGGTTTAAGCTCCCCTGGACCTGAGCTGCAAGTCCCTGAACATCCCTGACACCTATTGGTTTCCACAGGGCTTGAAAGCATCCTGCAATCCCAAGGAACAGGTCCTGGAGCCTGGGTGGGACCAACTCCTGCCAGTGGTCAAGGTTTTACCTCTAAGTGGCCCATGTAGGATGCCACGTTCTCCTTCAGTGTGGCCACGCTGGACACCATACACTGGAACTTCTCTTCCAGGTCATCATACTCCTTGTCCTCTGTCTGCAAGGCAAGAGGCAGCTTATCACCAGTGTGGGCAGGCCAGGTGGTGCCTTGGGCAGGGCTGATGACCATCACTGGGGGCTAACACAGCAGCCAGGCACTTGCCTGAAGCTCACAGGGCTGGGCACAGGCAGAGGAGAACCTGAGGGGCTTCAGGAATCTGGAAAGGGGCCCAGACATAGGTTGCTTGGGGTGCAGGCAGCAACAGGGCTTCTGGTGTGGCTGGGGAACACTGAGGTGTCTCTCCTTTTGCTGAGGTGCCCAGGGATCCTGTAGGTCCTTTGGAGGCCAAGATGCTCCCCTGTAATACTCTGAGGCAGGGAGCGAGGTGAGTCCCTGCATCCCTCCAACCTTGCTGGTCCTTGGGATGATGGAGGAGCAGAAGGCACCTTTAGACTGCTCAACAGTGGGACTGTGGTTCCTGTGGCAGCTGAGACCACTGAGTGTTAGGATCAGCCACCTCACCCTGGCTCTGCACTCCCTGACCAGCTGGAGAGCCACCTTGGGAGCAGTGGAAAGCCCCAGGAATGACTCAAGGAGAGGCAGCAGGTCCCTGGGAGCAGGCAGTGAGGTGATGGAGGAGTAGGGATGATGGAGGAGCAGGAGACATCCTTAGACTGCTCAAATATGGGTCTGTGGTTTGTGTTGGCAGTAGAGACCACTGAGTGTTAGGATAAGCCACCTCACCCTGGCTCTGCACTCCCTGACCAGCTGGAGAGACACCTTGGGAGCAGTGGAAAGCCCCAGGAATGAGCCAAGGAGGCACAGCAGGGTGAGGGCTGCCCACCTTGGCCACAATGCCAGCCTCATGCATCAGGAGTCTGCTCAGCCGTGTGGTCTTCTTGGCGATGGAGTGAGTGTTGAGGCGAGCGAGGCGATCGCGCAGAGACAGGTGCTCGGCCTTGGTGTACTTGGTTGCTGTCTCAGGGGAGGGGGCACAGGGTGGGAGGAAAGAAAAGATTCATAGCATGTTAAGGGGATGGGATGGAGCTTAGAGATCATCCAGCCCCAACTCCCTGCCCTGGGCAGGGACACCTCCCACCAAAACAGGTTGCTCAAGGTTTCAGCCAACCTGGCTGTGAACACTGCCAGGGTTGGGGCAGCCACAGCCTCCCTGGGCAACCTGTGCCAGTGTCTCACCTATTTTCTCACATCCAACCTAAACTCCCCCTCCTTCAATTTGAACCCATTTCCCCTTGTCCTATCACTGCAGTTCCTAGCAGAGTCCCTCTCTGAACAGAAGAGACTTCATAGCAGCATCCTCAGCAGCCTGAGCAGGCAACAGGTTTGAGCAGCACAGAGGCTGGGGCTGATCAACAGGATAAGCACAACCCTCATCAGAGAAGAGCAGCCCTGGGGAATGTGCTAGGAAAACCAAAATGAAGAGCAAGGTCCCGTCTGTGGGGAGCCTGAGTCCTCCTAACCCAAGGGCAGGACTGTTCTTTCCCATTCCCCACTCCCAGGAATGTGGACTGACTGGTTTTGTGCTCAGCCCCCCCATGCCACCCTGCTCCTGCAGCATTCGGGATCTTGCCCAGAGTGGCACTTACAGGACCAGACCAGTGCCAGGAGCTGCCTGCACGAATCTGCGGCTCCACCAGGCAGGGTGAGTGGAGAGCAGGAGAGCTTTGAACTGGTTCAAGTGGGAATTAGTGCAACACCAAAGGGAGACAACTGGGGTTGGCTGGGGCTCCCCAGACTCCATTCCCCTGCCTGCACCAAGCCCTGACCACTCACCTACTTCCCTGCGCCGTTTGTACTCGTTGATGTTGGCATTGACCTGGGTCATGGCACGGACAGCTGCCTGCAGGGCTGAGTAGGCACTGGCACTGCTTGGGGTGTTCTCCAGGATCTTCCCCAGCAGCAGAGGATATTTGGTGACCCTCTGCACTGGCATCACCAGGAAGAAGCTGAGGTCTGATGCACCTGTGTGAGGTCTGATGGAGAGGGGAATGGCTCAAGGTTGGCACTGAGGGCTCCTTCCTGCCCTGCTGCTCTCCACAGCTTTTTTGAGAGTGTTTTGGGGACAGAGCAGCCCAGAAGTCTTGGGTGCTTTCTGCTGTGAACCCCTGGTCCCCTCCAGCTGTGGGGCCACCCCTTGGAGCTCTGGCAGGGGAACAGTCCCTGCCAGCCCTGAGGATAGTGCCAGCCCTGGAGAGGCACTCTGCCTCCTTGAGCAGAGATGTGCTTGCCTAGCTGTGAGACATGGGATCAGTGCTTGCTCTGGGAGCAGCAGGAAGGGACAGTGTGGGCAAAGTGCAGGCAGGACTCCCCTTCTGCCCACAGGCAAGGCATCTCTCACTTGAGAATCACAGAGAACAGCAAATCCCAGGGGCTCCTCCACTGCCACTCCTGCTTCTCCTGGCTTTGACAGTGTTCATGACCCCCTTAAAATTCAGGAGGGGTTTGCAGGTCCCCCAGGGCCAGCACATCTCTCTGGTCAAGCTGGGGAACTTATGTTAACCTTGGGCATAGCTTCTTGGGCTGGGGGGGAGGTAGCAGTTGTGAATGCCACCCATCCTGTATTTTGGGGTCCACCATAAAAGACCACCAACCTGTAGTGTCCCTTTGGCAAGTGGCCCCAAGAATCTAGGACAGATTGCCAGGGATTACACCAGAACATGGTATGACACCTAGTCTGGTGACCTTCATGCAGGCTGCTTGTCCAGAGAGGGGAAGGGCAAAGCCAGAGGATAAGACAGGGAGAGGGAGGTGGTGGTCTCGGCAGCAGGTACCTACACTGTGGCATTCAGGGTGTCCAAGATCTCCTCCTGCAGCCTGGGGTGCCTGCAGTAGCTCTCCACCAGCTGCAGGGCATGATCATAGCTGGCACAGTATGTCTTGTAGACAGCCTCCATCTCTTCCTTGAACTCCTGGAACAGGGTGCCTGGGGAAGGAGAGCGAAGCTGGAAAGGATAGTCCTTTCCCCAGAGAAAGGCCGAGGTTTCTCCCCAGCCTGATAGAAGGGTGAAGCCAGCAGAGCAGTGCCAGCCTGGCTGGGCCTGACACCACCCCATCGCTGTCTGCAGGCTGGGCAGGTCTGCCTTGCCCCGGGGGTGGCTCCCTGTGGACAGAGGTGTGCAGGCAGCAGCACCCCCAAAGCCAAGGGAGGTGCAGGAGGTGTGAGGGCAGGTGGGCTGAGGATGGCACACACACGTGCTCAGCTCTGGGCATGGGTCAGCTATTGGCACTGCACCACTTACTGATGCAGAGCAGCTGCTCCTGCCCCTGGGTGGTTGTGGCCTCAAGACCCTTCAGAAACCGTCTGGAGACATTGAGGATGTCGTCGGTGTTAGAGAAGAGTCCTTCCAAGTCAAGGTCAGGCAGCTGAAGGGAACAAAGACGTCCCAGACTAAGCCAAATTCATCAGAGATGGACTGTGTGTTTCAGAGGCTCTCACGCCCTCCTGAGCACTCATGTCCTTCCATCTGCCCTCTGTGACACCCGAGGAGCTGGAGCAATGCTCTGTTTCAGGAGGCTGTGGGAATGCTGAGACCTGTCTGTGCTCCCAAGTGGGGCAGTGAGGTCTTCTCATGTTACAGGTGCAGGGTTAAAGTTGTTGGATGGCTGTACTGAGTTAGACCCAGTGTCTACCCAACCCCAGACCGCGGCTGATCAGGGAAGGAGGAAGGTGAGCACATGGTGATTTGGGCATCTCACAGCTCTCAACAGATTCATCCTACAGCCTACACCACCCCAGCCCCTGGGGAGGAGGATGTTGCCCATGTCACCTGCTTTTTCTGGAGGTGTGCCCGGATGTCTGACACGCAGAGCTGGATGTTGTGGACGTAGCTGGCCTCGGTGGTGATGAGCTCCTCCACGGCCATCCGCTGGCTCAGCTCCATCCTGTCACAGGGCACCACCTCCTCATAGATAGCCTCTTCAGCCTCCTCTGCACCCTCAGCATCGGGCTCTGCCCCATCAGCACTCGCCATCTCAGCAGGACCCTCTGCAGGGTGTGGAAGAGAGTGAGGGACAGGCTGTGGCAAGGGCAGCCCTGGCACTGGTGCTCTGGTGCCCAACCCAGCTCTGCTGCTCCCTCCCATGTGTCAAGGGCACCCCACAGCATATCCCCAGGGACATTAAACCCATCTGCTTTTACAATCAAGGCACAGATGATACTCCAAACCCATAAAACCATAAAGTGCTGCAAGGCAGGAGCAGGCTGGCTGCAGCAGGCAGACACCCATGGGCAGCAGGCAGGGACCTGCCACACACACACACATGCCAAACTCCAGTCTGTGGTGCAAGGGTGCAGCCAAGGGGACCTTCAGGTGCAGGCAGGGGCCTAGCAGAACTCACCAAGCACTGGGACTGGGCAGGGGCTGATCCCTGAGGGCAGAGTGGGGTTTGCCATCTCCTTGCTGACAGGGCTAGTTGTTCCCTCCCTGCCTTGGCCGTCGGCACCACGTTCAAGGGTCCTGTTCAAAGTACAAAGAGTGTTTTTGTGGTGCTTGAACAAGATGTTTCTGTGACAGCAAGAGCTGATTTAAAAGCCACTGGGACGGGGGGAGGAGTGGGCAAAGCTGCAGATGCCTCTGCCAGAGGCACTGGCAGCCCCTGGTATGCCAATGCCTGTGCCCTGCCCGATGCAGCATGCTCCCCTCTCCACTCTGCCTGCAGGGAGCATGAAAAATCAGAGCTGATTCATGACGTTTCCTTCTCAGGAAACATGCTCTGCTCAAACTGATACTGAGCAGGATGGAGCAGCTCCCAGAGCATCACAGATAGTGCTTAGTTCCTGGCAGGAGGCCTTGAGAAAGAGAGAGACACAGCGCAGCCCACACCAGCACAGTGCACAGCTTGGCTCCAGGCTCCAGCCGGGGGGGAGGAATGCTGCCAGGCCACCCGTCTGCCTGTGGAGGCTGTGAAGGAGGTGAAGAGCCAAGGCAAGGCAGAGGTGGCTTGGCAGGATAAAAGCCAGATTGCACAAGCAGCAGTACACAGGGAGGGTGACTCTGTCTCTGGCCTCTGCTGCCTGCCCAGCCAGTGCCAACCTCCGAGCCAGACTGTCAGCCAGACTGCAGCACATCAAGTGCCCACTTTGGAGCCTCAGGCACCTGCAGTGGGAGCAGGGAGAGGGATGGCAGGACAGCTCACTGTTCCCACTGGATCCAGCTAACAAGTGGCAATGCAGCTGTGAGCAGTGGGCACTCCCCTCCTGGCACACACCCACTGCTGTGCTGGAGGAGACCTGGGCTTGGCACAGCAAGCAAATACAAGGGAGAAGGTATGGGACCTTCACCTGCTTGGCAGGGGCACATCACCCTGCCAGCTGTCATCTCTGCCCTCTGTGCTTTGGCTGCCTCCTGTGCCTGTGCCATGGCATTGGCAGCTATGGGACATGGGAAGTAAAAGACACTTTTCAGTACCCCTTTGAGTGCTTCTGAGGTACCCAGGCAGAAAGACTCCCATCAAGGACTGTTGGACAATCTTAGTGTCCTTTGCCTGGCCATGACAGCAAGACCCTTGCTCAGAGGAATGGCTGCAGTGGATGCAGGTGAAAAGTCCTGGCCTGAGACAGCCTCTGAGCCCTGGAGGGATGTCCTGCAGCTTGGGGCATGGTGGCATTGGGGTATCACTGCTCCTTGCACCAATATCCTCAGGGCACATAGCTGCTTTGGGGAGCTTTCTCCAAGCTGGGGAAACCTCACACCCTGCTCTCACCCCCCTGGACTGAGACATCAGAGGAAGAAGGGAACTGTGCAAAACTAAAACGCAGCATCTCTGGGAAGCGTTGGAGAAGGCAGAAGAGCGCAGGAGCGAGTTTCGTCTCCCTAGCCCCTCCT